CCCCACCGATTGCACAAAACCAACATCAACACATGTAAAGGTTATTGCATGGTTTTCGAGTAACAAGGGATTTATTACACCCTCGCTTCGCTCGGGTGTAATAAGTCCCGAGTGACGAGTTATCATGCAATAACAGGCTTACTGCATGCTTCCCAACTCGAACAAATCAGAAAAATTGAGTAAAAAATGTTCACCTGGACAATCTTTTCACCTACCCTACTGCAGATCATTTACATGCACCATGTGAGCGAGTATTAATCAGAACCAGGTAAGTTTGTCTTTGTTCTCAATAGCCCAGTCTGAGTGTATCCTTCATAATGGATACAACTGGTTTTGGATTACTATCCAGCTCCAGTGTCAGGGAAGTTTAATTTTCAAGATGTGGCAAAGTTAGGATAACTAACCTGTCCAGGATATTGAAACCACTTGCATACATACAATGTAAGAGTTTATCAATCCCTAAGGAATTCCAGTTCTTTCAATGAATGGTATATTTGAATGTGCAATTTTGTATAAAGAAACAGATTATAAACTTTTCCTGGAAATGCTTATCCTCTCACGTGATAAGGAAATCAATCACGCTGCCAACTCAGTAATTAATTTTGTTTGTTTTTCAATCATGAAATTACCATTTTTAACTTTTTTCTTATTTTAAATGTGTCAAATAAGTTTATCCTTTCCACTGTATTGACTTCATCGTTACTTACTTATTGAATATCTCCCTTTCTTACAGCAGTTGTGACAACAGTCCACTGGGCACAACCACTTTCATGGTCATGTAATCATGATTGGCCATGAAAGGGGATTATGTGTGCAGTGGACTGTGGTAACAAGTGATTTATTGCCCACAGTTTTCCATTGTGAGAGGTGGGAAGTATGCAGTAAATAATGATGAGGATACACCCAACATAGAAGCCTGTTGGTTTTACCGTAATGATGCCGCTGATTCCTGTCAAACAAAGACATCGGACTAGTCTACTTCTATCATCTAAAATATTCAATGTGTCACGCCTTCGAATTTATCATAAAATGTTCCGAGGGTACAGAGAAGATACATATTCCGAGAGCACAACCCCTGGATGTCGAGCATGGGTGGACGATGGCGTAGACCCCTTTATCATTGATGTATAACGATTCATCTACATGACCCAAGTACGTTTCTCTCCCCAGTATAGCCACAACCTTACCCTGCACAAGTGTGATCCAGCTCCTTCAAGTCGCACGCACTGCTCGTCAGCCGTGATAACCTGACCCGGAATATCCTGGTCATACGGGGTCAAGGCCGTCGGATCGTGATCGCTACTCAATGTCAGCAGACAGTTATTCATGTCTCTAAAATCCAAATGAGGCTTCATATATATATATATATAAAACACTAATGCCGTGAAGGTATGTGCTGATATGTTAGACCACTTTGTAAAATATCGTATACTTCTGTATAGTGTAAACATTCGTGAAAATGTAGATCTATGCGAGACTGTTACAGTACAGCTATATACGAGAGTAAACGTTTGCAAGATTATTAGAACACTGCCATGTAAGTTTGTGAACCTTTGTAGGAATGTATCAGTTCATTAATATAAGAAAACATAAACCTATGTAGGAGTGAAACCTATGTTAGACTATCACAGTACAGCTATGTAAGAGTGGAAACCAATGTAAGACTGTCACGGTACAATTAGGTAAGAGTGTAAACCTATGAAAGACCGTCACAACACAGCTATGCGATAGTGTAAACCTATGTAAGACTGTTCCAATATAGTTATGTAAGAGGGTAAACCTATGTAAGACTGTCACAGTACAGCTAGGTAAGAGTGTAAACCTATGTAAGATTGTCACAGCATAGCTATTTAAGAGTGTAAACCTATGTAAGATTGTCACAGTACAGCTATGTTAGAGTGTAAACCTATGTAAGATTGTCACAGTACAGCTCTGTAAGCGGTTTAAGCTATGTAAGAGTGTCATGATACAGCTATGTAAGAGTGTAAACCTATGTAAGACTGTCTCAGTAGAGCTATGTTAGAGTGTAAACCTATATCAGACTGCCACGGTACAGCTATGTTAGAGTGTAAACCTATGTTAGACTGTCACAGTACAGCTATGTAAGAGTGTAAACATATGTTAAACTATCACAATACAGCAATGTAAGAGTGTAAACCTATGTTAAAATATCACATTGCAACTATGTTAGAGTGTAAACCTATGTTAGAATGTCACAGTACAGCTATGTAAGAGTGTAAACCAATGGAGACTGTTGCAGTACAGCTATGTTATAGTGAAAACCTGTAAAGCCTGTTACAGAACAACTATGTAAGAGTGTAAACCTATGTTAGACTGTCATAGCACAGCTATGTAAGAGTGTAAACCAATGAAGACTGTAACAGTACAGCTGGGTAAGAGTGTAAACATATAAAGACTGTTGCAGTGCAGCTATGTAAGATTGTAAACCTATTTCAGATTGTCACAGTACAGCTATGTTATAGTGTTTACCTATGTAAGACTGTCATAGTACATCTATTTTAGAGTGAAACCTATGTAAGAATATCACAGTTCAGCTATGTAAGAGTGTAAACCTATGTTAGACTGCCACAGTACAGCTATGTAATAGTGTAAACCTATGTTAGACTGCCACAGTACAGCTATGTAAGAGTGTAAACCAATGGAGACTGTTGCAGTACAGCTGGGTAATAGTGAAAACATATGTTAGACTGTCACAGTACAGCTAGGTAATAGTGTAAACCTATGTTAGACTGCCACAGTACAGCTATGTAATAGTGTAAACATATGTTAGACTGTCACAGTACACCTATGTAAGAGTGTAAACCTATGTTAGTGTGTCACAGCACAGCTATGTAAGAGTGTACACCTATGTAAGAATATCACAGTACAGCTATGTAAGAGTGGAAACCCATGTAAGACTGTCACAGTACACATATGTCAAAGTGTTAACCTATTGAAGACTGTCACACTACAGCTATGTAAGAGTGTAAACCTATAAAGAATGTTACAGTACAGCTATGTAAGAGTGTAAATCAATGAAGACTGTTGCAGTACAGCTGGGTAAGATTGTAAACATATAAAGACTGTTGCAGTGCAGCTATGTTAGATTGTAAACCTATTTCAGATTGTCACATTACAGCTATGTTATAGTGTTTACCTATGTAAGACTGTCATAGTACATCTATTTTAGAGTGAAACCTATGTAAGAATATCACAGTTCAGCTATGTAAGAGTGTAAACCTATGTTAGACTGCCACAGTACAGCTATGTAATAGTGTAAACCTATGTTAGACTGCCACAGTACAGCTATGTAAGAGTGTAAACCAATGGAGACTGTTGCAGTACAGCTGGGTAATAGTGAAAACATATGTTAGACTGTCACAGTACAGCTAGGTAATAGTGTAAACCTATGTTAGACTGCCACAGTACAGCTATGTAATAGTGTAAACATATGTTAGACTGTCACAGTACACCTATGTAAGAGTGTAAACCTATGTTAGTGTGTCACAGCACAGCTATGTAAGAGTGTACACCTATGTAAGAATATCACAGTACAGCTATGTAAGAGTGGAAACCCATGTAAGACTGTCACAGTACACATATGTCAAAGTGTTAACCTATTGAAGACTGTCACACTACAGCTATGTAAGAGTGTAAACCTATAAAGAATGTTACAGTACAGCTATGTAAGAGTGTAAATCAATGAAGACTGTTGCAGTACAGCTGGGTAAGATTGTAAACATATAAAGACTGTTGCAGTGCAGCTATGTTAGATTGTAAACCTATTTCAGATTGTCACATTACAGCTATGTTATAGTGTTTACCTATGTAAGACTGTCACAGTACATCTATTTTAGAGTGTAAACATATGTAAGACTGTCATAGTACAGCTATGTAAGAGTGTAAACCTATGTAAGAATATCACAGTACAGCTATGTAATAGTGTAAACATATGTTAGACTGTCACAGTACAGCTATGTCAAAGTTTTAACCAATGAAGATCGTTGCAGTACAGCTATGTCACAGTGTTACCTTATGTAAGACTGTCATAGTATGTTGAGATACGCTATGTTGCATATTATAATTATGTGTCCCATATTTCACGTACATTAAACAAAGTGTGAGTTATTGTCCTGAAATTTCGTGTAATGTTGTTTTGTAATTTATACTTTTGTTACCGACTCACGTATTTAGTTTTGTTACGTAAGTTTCGAAGTATGTGACAGAACAGCTTGAAAATATCCATGGATTATCCCTCGCTGAACTGGGACCTGGACCAATAGAGGGCGACATGATATTCTGGTTGTTTTCCGGGCACGAATTTTCGTCCCCGTCATGGCCAGCTCCAAGGCTATGGGCAACAAGCCGTGACGTTATGTTATGTTATTACATTAAACTATGATGTCACAATATCAAACCGTTACAACAAATTTAAATATCATAGCAAAGACTAATACTACAGATCAAACATGTATTCAATATGTTAATATAATTGATAGAATTTAACAACATTAAAAGCAACATTGTGACGAGAGAGAAAAATCTCTGTCACTTTGACGTATGGATTGCTCTCTCAACATGTATATTTCACAACAAAGGAGTTGTCCTTTCTCGTAAAGGATCCCTATCCAACTGCACTGTGGTTTTTCTTATTTCGAGTAAACTCCCTTTAATTTCTGCAAGGCTATAACTGTAGCACATGGCCTCAGACCACAAATACACTTCCGGGTCGTTGTACACGAATTTAGTGCATAAGGACATTTCAGGTCGGTTGCTAAATAATTTTTCCTGTCTGATCTATGACAGATTTGTACAGTTTTTTACATAGATCTGTTCAACAATATCTATTCTAGTGATTCAATTTGTTTTGACACAGTTTTCAGGTTTCTTTTCGCAACAGGACACAATGAGTGATGAGGCTTGTGCAGTGATATTTTGTGATCTTTTGTATTTTCCCTTATACATGAGGGTAGTGACATCCAAACGAAATTATCTTTCTTAAATGCCGGTCATGAGGTACTTTCCAGCTCACAGTATGTTCAGTTTGAATAGACTTACGATATGAAATAGGAACCAGACCCTGTGCAAAGTTTTATGATATCTTAATTTCATTTTTCCTTTGGTAGTTACATAAAGTAGAATTAATTGTGGTCTGAGGCCACAGTTTTGTCAGGGTATTTCCGTTCACAAGGTAGTTCTCTCGGTAAGAGCGATACAATAATAGTCTGAAGTACAGGGTTCAAATCTCGGTCTAGTCCCGATAATTGTTTTCACTCAGGACAATGTTGGTGGTTATATTTTGTTTGTCAAACCTTTATTATTTCTTTATAAAAGTTCTAAATTGTATGGTTTTCTTTTCAGACAATTTTTTATTAAAGCTATAGCCATGCCGGGAAAAACAGTTTGAAATGAATAGTTACATCTTTTGGCAGTGGTACGGGGTTCTTTAAGAATGCCTTCATCTTTTTGAAGTATATATGATATATCAGTTTCACTCACTTGTGTCCGAGTTCATGAGCCGCTATTACATTCATGTTATAGTTGAATGAATCCTCACTTATCGATTGTTTAAGACTATCACAAGCGCCTGATAACCACGCAACACCTGAAATGAACACGTGACACATTTGCAAAAAGACAATGCGAATTTCTGATGGCCAGTATCCGCCCGTACGCGCTATATCATCCTGGACTGATTTGATGGTTAATTGCATTTTGTTTTAAATAAGAGTCTTCGTAATATCACATTTGTCATATATATGACTTTCATATGTTATTGATGTAATTGTAATTTTTATTTGGTATTTTAATAATTACAGTGTGTAGCGTATGGAAATGGGTTATAATATTACTATTATCCTACCTGTTATCAACCCTCGATCAATGTTAACCCTCAGGCCTTTGACCCATCGGGCTGATATGGGTTTCTCGGGTTGATACGGGTTAGGATATGGAAATGATCATGCAATATGCAATGATAACATGAATGTATCTGCGACATTTACTTAATGATTTATTAACCTGTGATGTAGCCGTCACTACGTTTTTACCGATAACGTCATACATCAACATGTCCCTACCTGCAACGGCGCTGCTCACTTCTCCATTTTTCGTAGATGTAAAGTCGTACCTATAACAATCATGAAATAAAGACAATCAACATAAATCTAGTGTCTGTTATCACTACTGTACATATGGCCATGAAAAAGCCATGAAATTACAATGAGATGAATGCCATGAAAAAGCCATGAAAAAGCCCATGAAACACGACCTTTTTAATGGCCCTTATTTTGTTAAACCCTATTAAATTACCATGAATATATTTTTCAGCCATGAAAAAACAGAAATTCAAAGCTATGAAAAAAGGCCATGAATGTGTGTGTCAAGGAAATTCATGGCCCATGAAACATAAAAATTCATGGCCCATGAAACATCAAAATTCATGGCCATGAATTCAGCATGAAAATTCTAGGATAGAAATTATCATGGCCATGAAAAAAATCATGGCCATGAAAAATATCATGGCCATGAAACCCCCCTGAAACATGACCGAATTCATGGCCCATGATTTTTTTGCCATGAAAAAGGTCTTTTTTTGCAATTTTCATGGCCATGAAAATAAAAAAA